CCTCTGTTACTTCTTTTCGGAATCTCCCAAAAGCACAGTGTCATCAGCAGAGAGCAACTGTGACAACTCCCACTTTATGTTAGATTCTTTATCTTTTAACCCCACACCTCTTGCCAACACCTGAGCATTCACTTCTCTTACAATCCCATCTATAAATATATTAACCCTTAAACTGTCCAAACATAGATCTATGTTTGCTTGTGTAGTGCTCCAAATGTAGAGCTATGTTTTTTGTTACATTGTTTCTTATGGAGAAAATCAAGGTCGGAGCGCTATGTGCGCAAACGTAGATCTACGTTTGGACAGTTTAAGGGTTAAACAACCATGGTGACATCACACATCACTGTCTAAGGCCTACTTTTACTTGGAAATAATCTCCCTCTCTCCTACATGAACCTGAGCCTCACTATCCATGTAAAAACATTTCACTGTTTCAGTAATCTTCATCCTATTTCATACATTTTCAACATCTGCCATATTACCCCCCTATCCACCTTTTCATATGCCTTTTCCAAATCCATAAGTGTTACAAAAATCTCTCTACTCTTATCTAAATACTGTTCACTCAAGTGTTTTACTATAAACACTTTGTCTACACACCCCCTACCCTTCCTTTGGAGATCAAAGGGAGGGGGATGGGGGTAGCTTTGAGAGAGGACTTTGCACTGGGAATGTAGTTGGGGGAGGATAGAGTTATTGTGTTTGAGTGGGAAGGGTTGGGGGATTGAGGGATTATTTGAGTCTGAGTTTGGTGTTTATCCTGAGGCAGAGCTTCCATGTAGTGAGGCTGAGGATGGTGTCCACCTGGATGCAGAGCTTCTTCACTTTTTATCTCTGTCACCGGTTCTCCTCCTTGTCTTTAACTTTCCTTAGCTGTGCTTTCTCTGGTAGTGTTATGTCCTGGCAGAGGTACACATGATATCTCTCCATCCCCCCTTAACAGTAGTTTCCACATAAAGATATGATCTTATTCCATTTTTGATGCAAGGGTCAGTTTGGCTGTATTTTGTCACTTTCATACTTCCCAAGTCTCTGACTTTCATACTTCCCAAGTCTCTGAAAATTTTCCATCACATGTACCTCAGCCTTCTTGTCATACACTGCCAATGTTTTATTAGTTCATTTCCCTTAAGTCTCCCAAAGGCTGTGGATAATGTGACTTTCTATTTTCTTTCCCTCGAGAGTTCATTGTCTTTCATTTTCATTTCCTTTCCTGCTTCCTTTATCATCTTCCTTTCTGGTTTCCTGAGAGCATATCTGCGGGGATCTTCGCCTTCTCTGCCCTTCCTCCTGACTCTCCACCAGTTGAATTTATTATCTCTGTCTAACACCTCCTTTCCTTCAACTCTAGTTTTGTCTTTTTTTCCAGTTATAGGAAATGTAGCTTTTCTGTATCAATAACTCTTCTCTCTTTCCTTGCCTGCCTTCAGTACTTCCATCATCTCGCCATCCATCATGTGTTGTAACTTAGTCAACGTCTCTGTCCATGGGGTTCCTGACCATACATCCTCAGCATCTCCACTTTACTTATTTGGCCTCTGGTTTCCTATTTCTTCTTCCCTGGCTTTGAGAACCTTATTGTTCTTCATTTTAAAGCTATGTATCAGGTTAGGTAAGGTTTACCAGGGAACAGGACAAGTGTTACCACTTCCTTACTAAGGCTGTGACTTTTAACCCTTTGAGGGTTTTGGACGTACTAGTACGGCTTACAACCCAGGGTTTTTGACGTACTAGTACGCCTAAATTCTAGCGCCCTCAAATCTAGTGGGAGAAAGCTGGTAGGCCTTCATATGAAGGAATGGGTCTATGTGGTCAGTGTGCACAGTCTAAAAAAAATCCTGCAGCACACAGTGCATAATGAGAAAAAAAAAACTGACCATTTTTTTGGAATAAAACAGCGACTTTGCACTGTATTTTCGTATGGTATTTATTGTTGTATTCTAGTTTTCTTGGTCTCATTTTATAGAATAGAAGACATGTTACAGAAACTGAGATGATTTTGACTGGTTTTACAATGAAAGGTACCTTGAAATTGAGCTCAAAGTAGCAGAAATGTTCGATTTTTACCAAATTTCAAAAGTAAACAAATCGTGCCAAGCGTGCAATACACGTCAACTGGTGAGTCTAATATTCTTTTACAAGTGCACCAATAATATTTATACCATTTTTTACACTAATGCAGTAGTCTGCATAACAGTAAATCTTATATTTTTTGTGAGAATAAAAATTCAAAGTGGAAAGCAAAATAATATAAGAGGGGCCTTGAGACGTGACTAATGACCAGAGGAAATGTCATTTTAGTGCCAGGAATGTATTTCTTGTTTATTCTGGACCCTATTTGGAAATTGGCATCTTTTGAAATTTGTGTGAAATTGGCAAAATTGCTAAATTCTGACCACTGTACTGGATAGTTGAATTTCATAAATGGGTGGTTTCTTGCACCCATTCGATAGAAAAAATGGAGTTCTAGCGAAATATTCACGTTTTTTGTCGACTAGTACAGTGGAATTGGCCGAAAATGGGGCTCAAAGTGGGCAAAATCGCCGATGCGTAAAAATCGCCGAGACCGCTAACTTTGTGAGAGCATAATTCCGTAAGTTTTCATCAAATTTCAAACTTTTGGTGTCTCTATATCGGGAAAAGATTCTCTATCTTTTCATAAGAGAAAATAATTTTTTTTTTTTTAAATTTTCTCCGACCCTGAGAACGAGTTTCGGAGAGGGCCTGTCGACCCTCAAAGGGTTAAGGTTTCAACTTGCAGCTGTGCACTCGTGTTCTTGTTTCCCAGCTCTCAGTCTGCCCCTATTCACCCTGTGTGTGTGTGTGTGTGTGTGTGTGTGTGTGTGTGTACTCGCCTAGCTCCTGACCCCGCCTCTTCACTGGTCGCCACTAGATCCATTCTCTCCTTACTGTATGAGCTTTATCATACCTTTTCTTAAAACTATGCATGGTACCTGCCTTCACTACCTCACTTTCCAGTCTATTCCACTTCGTGACAACTCTGTGACTGAAGAAATACTTCCTAACATCTCTGTGACTCATCTGAGTCTTCACCTTCTAGTTGTGACACCTTGTTGCCGTGTCCCATCTCTGGAACATCCTGTCTCTGTCCACATCGTTGATTCCTCTCAGTATTTTATATGTTGTTATTATGTCTTCCCTGTCTCTCCTGTCCTCCAGTGTCGTCAGGTTGAGTTCCCTTAACCTCTCCTCGTGTGTGTGTGTGTGTGTGTCTGTGTGTGTGTGTGTGTACTCACCTATTTGTGGTTGCAGGGGTCGATCCATAGCTCCTGGTCCTGCCTCTTTACTGATTGCTACTAGGTCTTTTCTCTCCCTGCTCCATGAGCTTTATTGAACCTCATCTTAAAACTATGTTTGGTTCCCACCTCCACTACGTCACTTTCTAGGCTATTCCACCACCTGACAACTCTATGACAGAAGAAATACTTCCTAACATCCCTTTGACTCATCTGAGTCTTGAACTTCCAATTATGACCCCTTGTTTCTGTGTCCCATCTCTGGAACATCCTGTCGTTGTCCACCTTGTCTGTTCCGCACAGTATATTATATGCCGTTATCATGTCTCTCCTGACCCTCCTGTCCTCCAGTGTCATCAGGCCAATTTCCCTTAACCTTTCTTTGTAGGACAATCCCCTTAGCCCCAGGACTAGTCTTGTTGCAAACCTTTGCACTTTCTCTAATTTTTTGACATGCTTGACCAGGTGTGGATTCCAAACTGTTGCTGCATACTCCAGCAGTATAGGCCTGACGTATATGGTGTACAGAGTCTTGAACAATTCCTTGCTGAGGTATTGGAACACTATCCTTAGGTTGGCCAGATGCCCATGCACTGCAGCAGTTATCTGATTGATGTGCACCTCAGGAGATGTGCTCGGTATTGTACTTACCCCTAGATCTTTTTTCCTTGAGTGAGGTTTGCAGTCCTTGGCCACCTAGACTATACTGTGTCTGCAGTCTTCTTTGCCCTTTCCCGATCTTCATGCATTTGGCAGGGTTAAACTCAAGGAGCCAGTTGCTGGACCAGGCTTGTATCCTATCCAGGTCTCTTTGTAGCCCTGCCTGATCCTCGACCGATTTGATTCTCTTCATTAACTTCACATCATCTGCAAACAAGGACACTTCTGAGTCTATCCCTTCCGTTACGTCATTCACATGTGTCAAAAACAGCACAGGTCCTAGGACTGACCCCTGTGGTACCCTGCTTGTCACAGGTGCCTACTCTGACACCTCGTCACGTACCATGGCTCGTTGTTCCTTCCCTGTTAGGTATTCTCTGATCCATTGCAGTGCCTTTCCTGTTATGTGTGCCTGATCCTCTAGCTTTTGCCTTAACATCTTGTGAGGAACTGTGTCGAAGGCCTTCTTGCGGTCCAAGAAAATGCAGTCCATCCACCCCTCTCTCTTTTGTCTTCTGTCAATTTGTCATAAAACTCCAGTAGGTTTGTGACACAGGATTTTCCTTCCCTGAAACCGTGCTGGTTGTCAACTACACGATTATATGTGTACTCACCTATTTGTGGTTGCAGGGTTGAGTCATAGCTCCTGGCCCTGCCTCTTCACTGATTGCTACTAGGTCCTCTCTCTCTGCTCCATGAGCTTTATCAAACCTCATCTTAAAACTATGTATGGTTCCGGCCTCCACTACATCACTTTCTAGGCTATTCCACTGCCTGACTGCTCTATGACTGAAGAAATACTTCCTACCATCCCTTTGCTTCATCTGAGTCTTCAACTTCCAATTGTGACCTCTTGTTTCTGTGTCCCATCTCTGGAACATCCCATCTTTGTCCACCTTGTCTATTCTGCGCAGTATTTTATGTCGTTATCATGTCTTCCCTGACCCTCCTGTCCTCCAGTGTCATCAGGCCGATTTCCCTTAACCTTTCTTTGTAGGACAATCCCCTTGGCTCTGGGACTAGTCTTGTTGCAAACCTTTGCACTTTCTCTAATTTCTTGATGTTCTTGACCAGGTGTGGATTCCAAACTGGTGCTGCATACTCCAGTATGGGCCGGACGTAAATGGTGCACAGAGTTTTGAACGATTCCTTACTGAGGTATCGGAACGCTATCCTTAGGTTTGCCAGACGCCCGTACGCTGCAGCAGTTATCTGATTGATGTGCACCTCAGGAGATGTGCTCGGTGTTATACTCACCCCCAGATCTTTTTCCTTGAGGTTTGCAGTCTTTGTGTGTGTGTGTGTGTGTGTGTGTTGTGTGTGTGTGTGTGTGTGTGTGTGTGTGTGTGTATGTGTGTGTGTGTGTGCGTGCGTGTGTGTGCGTGTGCGTGCGTTGCGCGCGTGTGTGTGTGTGTGTACTCATTGTGGTTGCATGTGTACTCACCTCACCTAGTTGTGTGCGTATGTGCATGTGTGTGTGCATGCATGCACGAGTGTGAATGTATGTGCGTGTGCATGTATGTGTATGTATGCACTTAAGTCACCTAATTGTGGTTGCAGGGGTCGAGTCTTGGCTCCTGGCCCCACCTCTTCACTGGTTGTGAGGTCCACACACACCTTGCTCCATGAACTTCGTGTGTGTGTGTGTATGTATTTGTGGGTGTATGTGTGCATTTGTGTATATGTACGTGTATTTATGTGTGTGAACACGTGTAATTTTCTACGTGTTGCAGGGGCCGAGTCTCAGCTCCTGGCTCCATGTTTTCCTGCATGTTTCACATGTGCATATGCAAGTTGTGTGTGTTCATGTGTGTATGTGTGCGTATGCAAGTGTGTGTGTGTGTGTGTGTGTGTGTGTGTGTGTGTGTGTGTGTGTATGTGTATGTGTATGTATGTATGTACTCACCTGTATGTGGATGCAGGGGTCTATTCACAGCTTCTGGCATTGTGTGTGCATGTATGTGATTTGTGTAATTATATATTTATCAGTTTAATATTTGCCCAGTATTATGTACTGTTTAATTTTTTATCAGTTATATTCAGAAAATCTTTAGTTATCTTGCCTGCTTCTTATTTCTTATATTTTTTATAATTAGTCTTTTGTTTTGCATACTACTAAACATTTCTCTGGGAGACAAGTACTGTACTGCATACATTTTTTTCCTGCAGTATATGCTTCCCATGCTTCTCCACTCAGAAATGTTGCTAATGATCTGATCAAAATGATGAAAGTAATAATGTGTGTGCATATGTACTTCCATTAATCTAGATGCACTACTTGACTAAGCAGATGTGACAGATATTATATTTGCATTTTGTTTCCACTACAGAAATATCACAAGCTGTGTTTAGATGATAATACAAAGTAAACTGAAGTGGCACAGGTAATGCCAAGTAACATTTCCCTCCAACCACTTGATGGACAAATAGTGACCTTATATACTAATACTGTATATAAATAACCAGCAGAATTGAAGATATTACTAAGCAGCATTTGTCCCCAACTAGATGGCTATTAAATAGTGACCTTAACAAATCTATTAGTAAACAGCAGCATTTGAAATAATGCTAAGTAGCATTTGCCCCCAACTAGATGGCTATTAAATAATAACCATAAAATATTGACAAGCTGATCTGTGTGCATGACCACCTGTGTTTATCACAGAAAGATGTATTAGACACAGAAGGGCTACATTAAACTAGTTTTTCACTACATATATAAGTGGTGGGCAGAAAAATTAAGAAGCAGGTGGAATAGATCCCTGAGTTTCCTTCCCTTTTACAACTAGGAAACATGAGCAATTATTCCTACCCAAAATGAATCTGTAAACTTAAAATAATCTTAGCAAGTTAAACCACCTTAATACTGTTTGTATTAATGCACAAAAAACATTTATTTTATTTCAGAAAAGGACTGATGATTTAGCAGCAAATTTTGGATTTGGTGTGCTTGCCAGATTTACTGAAGTTCCCAATTTACAACACTTATCAAGCAGCCAAGATTATGGATACCTCATGGGATAATTTGCCAGTTAAACTCATTGCTCCTGTTCGGCATACTATCCATGACTTTGGGTTCAAGAGCATGACCCCTGTACAGGCAGCCTGCATACCATTACTCCTTAGTTACAAGGATGTTGCAGCTGAAGCAGTGACTGGGAGTGGCAAAACTCTGGCATTCCTGATCCCCCTCGTACAGATTCTGGAACAGCGCAAAGAACCTTTAAGGAAGCATGACATTGGAGCTGTAATTGTGTCGCCAACCCGGGAGTTGGCCACACAGATCCATGAGGTGCTACAGGGCTTCCTGAAACACATACCACAACTCACCTCAATGTTGACAGTTGGAGGATCATTTGCTGGTGATGACCTCCAGACATACAAGAAAACAGGTGCCCACATTATAGTGGCCACACCTGGACGCCTTCAGGACTTGCTGAGTCGTAATGCATTTGAAGGTCTCAGTCTTGCTGCTGGTGTAAGGGCTTTAGAAATATTAATTCTTGATGAAGCTGACAGACTTTTAGACTTGGGTTTCTTCAACACCTTGAATACTATCTTTGCTTATCTACCTAAACAAAGGAGAACAGGTTTATTTTCTGCTACACAAACCTCAGATGTGATCAGTCTTGTACGTGCAGGACTGAGGAACCCTTTACAGGTGAAGGTAAAAGAAAAAGAGGCAACAGGGGATGAAAGAACACCACTTTCTCTTCAGAATTACTACATGGTGTGTGAAGAGGAAAAGAAATTAGGGATTTTAGTCAAACTACTAAAAGAAAGGGAATCCATGAAAACAATGATCTTTCTCCCTACTTGTGCTTTTTGGGAATTTTTACAGTATACTTCCAAAAA